TTATGTAGTAGTATTTTAATTATACTTATATTTTAACTTTCTGATGTTTCAAGAGCTTTAAAACTAACATTTTCTGTGCTCTTAAATGAAATTACTACTTGGCATTGGGTATGTTTTTCAGCTTTCTGAACTTCTTAGAATTTTCTGAAAGCTTCAGAATTTTTCTTAATAACTTGAATTAATATATTTTCCTAACTTTATGTTTAATGCTGATACTAGCTGTGCAGTAGATGCTGCTGACTTAGTGCGGCAGAATGTATTTCCATGCATTCAATTTTAAAGGAAGAATAGGTAATACACCTTTTTAATTTGCTTTTAGGATGAAGTGGTATCCAGATCTAGAACACGCTATTATGCAAACTCCTTACAGCATAGAATTAAAAACCGCATATGGCAGACGCTCTTAGTTCTTCTTCCAAAGCTTAACCAGGTATTGCTCTTCACTATGAATTATTAAATAAATAAATAAATACTTACTTTCAATACTTTGGTGTCATGCAAACTGTGTATGATAAATTACAGCAGGGTATAAAAGGCATGTAATCTCTGCGGCTGCTGTAGAAGTTTTGTGTAGTTCTATTCTTTCAGTCTAAAGTCATGAATTTCTGATATATTTCTAGAGGACACTGAAAACTGATTCTTGGATTTGTGAATTTTAGGAGACTAGATTGTTCTGTGATTGATAGCTTTTCATTTAGTAAAAATGTTACTACTTTATGAACAGTCAAGAAATTGAGAAATTATACTTTTGTCAAATGCTGGTTCATAAGAAAATGTTTGAGAAGTATAGTAAAGAAATTAGATTCTAAAATGTTTTTTATTTGTGTATTAGAAGTATGTCTAATATTATTTTATAGCTGAGAATGTGTTCTTTTATTTAGAAGTTTTTTATTAATGGAAATGAACAATATACTAAGTGATTATCTGATTTTTTTCTCAGAATTTTTTGTGTGGAACCCTTGACAAAGTTTTTCAGGCTGGATTCAGTAATAATCAGGCATCTGTGAAATACTTGATAGAATGGATTGTTATCTTGAGTCTACATAAATACCCCCAATTCCTTAATAAATTCTGGAATTGCTTTTGCTATGTAAGTAAGAACTTTGGCATTCACTTGAAGAGTAATTTGAACAAAGATGGTATAGTTTGTCTTCCCACACCTTATTTTCTGTGCATTCTAATCTTGCTTTAGAAGCAGTGGGTCGTTGAGCAGATCAGTTCAGCCTGGAAGTGATCTGAGCTATAATCTGAGACATTTAGAAATTTGTGATATATAAGTGGCTGAAAAAAATGTGAATTCTACCAGTTGAGAGATTTCCTGTTGCAATGTGCTATTCTAGGCAGAGTAGAGCTGCCATAGTGAGTCAGAGTTGTTGATACAAGAGCCGTCAGGAACACATGGATGCCCTAGATTCTGAGTCTGGGGAGGTACTGCAGAGTCACTTGTGGTTTCCGCACCCAGCTTTTGTCTTCTGCATCCTCTTTGTTAGCAGGAGTGTGACTTGCATAGAACATGTTCAATTTGCAGATTTTCATATGGACTTCTCTCACAGTGGAATTTGTAATGTGGTTCCAACACTGGAGGAAGGGTTTGAATGATGGTACCTAAAAAGCTGTAAAAGGGTTGACTGAGGAGAACTGACCTACTAACAGTTCATTTTTGTGTCTTGGATTCATCTCTAAGTAATTACCTGTAAGAACTGACCTGCAGAAATAGTAATTGTCTGTATTGTTATCCTTGAATTTGTTAGCACTGTATATTTGGGCTAAGAAGAAAATGTATATCCTTGTATCTCGTCCAGTATGTGGGAAGACATTGTGGGGGTGCCTCTGCTGAAGCATTAACTCATAAGAGTTGCTACTGTAGTTTTTCTGAAAACTAGACATCATCATGGCTAGGCTTTGCAAACAAAGATTTGAGAAGGGGCTCTACTCACGCTTGCTACAAGTGCGCTGATGGCTAAAAAGGCCAATGCGAGATAGACAAGTCCGGTTGCAGAAGGTACAGCAGAAAGACTCCCCAGGTGATATAGATGACACGCGATTCTTTCTGCGTTGTCTTTTCTCCTCAAGAGTGATCCTGCGTGTGTTCTCAAAAGCAGCAGCAGCATTATAGATGGTGTGTCTCCAGGCCTCCCGATTGGAGGCCAGGGTAGACCAATGGTGGTGATCAATATGGCCAAGGCTGAGGGATTGTTTCAGGCAGTCCTTGTATCTCCTCTTCGGGCCTTCTCTTTTGTGGCAGCCAGTGACAAGTTCCCCATAGAGCATGATCTTAGGGAGGCGATGATCCTGCATCCTGGAGATGTGCCCTGCCCAACGCAGCTGAGTTCTCAGCAGCATGGCCTCAATGCTCGTGACTGCTGCCTGTTCAAGGACAATAGGACAAGAATTAAAATTACATTAAAAATATTGGAAAACTGTATGTATGTGTGTGTGTGTGTGTATGTATGTGTATATATATGTGTGTGTGTGTACATTTTCTGCCCAAAACCAGACAGGTTTTTAATAGTGTTCCCTTTTTTTAATACAGGTTTTTAATAAGCAAAGTTGTCTCAGTATTAAGAGATGTGGGCTGTTAGAATTTATACCTTTTTTAAAGTGCATAAAGATGCCTTATCATTCTATCTAAACTGATGCAAAGTGCTGTAAGGGATGTCACTTCTTCCTATTTCCAAGAGCTCGGGCAGTTGGAATTACTGTCATTTTGGTAGATGATAGTCTGTTGGATCAAAGTGATCTCATGCTGATAACAAGTGTACTAAATCACAGTGGGCCCATTCAAACAATCAGAGCAAGCAGAAAACATGTAGATTTATGAAAAGGGAATACAGATTGTATTTTCAGAGGCTATGCTTGTGTTGGGGAATACATTTAGTGCGGGTAGCTCGGTGTGCCGTTGCAGTGCAGGTTGAGCTCTGGGTAGCAGGAGCCCCAGGCAAGAGTCTGTGAACTGGTGACGACCCTTTGCATTCCTGGGGGAATACAGTGAACTTGAGTTGAATTTTAGCTCCTTTATACCACTGTGTACTTCATTCTGATTGATTTGTTAATAAAAAAACAAATAACGTGTTATGAAAAATTAAATCTTAATAATATCCACTTTGTATTTTAGTAAATTTCGCTGTGGGAACATGCAGGATTTTTTAATTATTTTAATTATTGCATGCATGGAATATGCTGTGAAAACTTTTAAGGTCTAAAAACATCATATATATGCATATTTCTTGTTACATTTTGCTTTAGGATGAAGAAAAGCTTAAAACAAGCATCTGCACATTTTTATCAGTGTTATCTCACTTTGACATCATTCTTCAAAATACCTCAGAGAAGGTAAATTTGACTGAAAGTGTTCATTGTTTATTCACTTGCAGAGTATACAGAGTTCTGAAATAAACATTTTTTGCAGTTTATTTTTATGACCTTTTTAATGCCTACTTCATATTAAGGTATCCTTTGATAATGAAAACACTAACTCTTCCTGTTACCTCTCTTAAATATTGTACTTATGAAAATCTGCTAAATGGCAGATGTTCTGGATATATAGGGCCTGATTACCTGTGAAATGTTTTAGAATAGCAACTCCAGTTTGCACCTGGGTTTTCCTTTCTGCTCTTTTATTCAGAGGTAAATAGAGGTTTCCTTGTATGCAGAGTAATAATTTTCATGTAAATTAATACATTTTTAAAAAACGAGCAGGGCTGTACGTCTGTGTCCTTGTGAGAAGAAAGGAAGGAAATTAAGATCATGTTTTGAAGCCTGTAATTGCACATATATGAACTGTTACTGAAAGGCAGGTTTTTTGAGGAAGCATTTCATTGGCCAGTCATAACTTTTCTGCTTTTGAACAGAATGTTAAGACTTAAAATACATAGGAGAAATTTCTTTATCTTTTTTTCTTAGAGGCCAGCTTTGAAGAAAGCTCTCGTAGTTGTTCTACAGTGGTGTTTCAACCATAATTTCAGTGTTCGACTTTATGCATTAGTTGCCCTTAAAAAAATCTGGGGTATGTGCAGAATGCTGCGTGTAGAAGAATTTGAAGCTCTGACACCAGTTATTGAATCTAGCCTTCAACAAGTGGAAAACATGCATGGCACAGGGTTAGTAACATTCTTCTGACTTAGAGCTTAACTTTCTTTTTCTGAACCATTTGCAGCAAGTTAAATTTTCTAAAGTGGCACTTTTTTAATTTCTGTGGGGTTTTATGTGTTTTTTCAACTCTGTTTAAAAAGAAGTTGGCATGGGAAGACATGGGACAGAAAAAGCAGAGAGAGGAGTCTGCTTTTTATTTGTTGACAACTAAAAGCTGACACTGAACCTAGGCAGTTTCCTTAAGAGACCTAGATGGGATACTTCTTTTTGCCAAACTTGCTTCTTTTGATAATTGAGTTTGGAGATGTGTTATGGACCTTTCTCGAAACATAAATAAAACCTATTTCCTGAGTGCTGCTGTTTTATTTTAATAGGTCCTTACTTAATTATTTTCTTCCCCATACAATATAGTAAATAAACCAGGTTGTCTTATTCCCATCTGACAATTTGAAACAAACAAACAAAAAATCTGCTATGTTGCCTTTTTTTGTGTATCTTACACCACTTTCTGCAATTGCAGGAATGCTAGAAGGAACTGGCAGCGAATTCAGGATCACTTCTTCTTTGCAACATTTCATCCACTTGAGGATTACAGTCTAGAGGCAAGTCTGAGACCACACTATTTGTGTTTTACAACTGTATTTTTATTTTTCTTAGTATTTTCTAATGTGGGATGAAATGATCAACTGTTACTCATTTAAAACTGAAAAATTACTTTGCCTAAATTATGATGGATTTTTAGACTGACTGCAGCTTAATTTTCTTTTTACTGTTGCAATAAAAACCTAGGTCAGCTAAGAGGTATGTGTGATGAATGTGCCCATCTGTGGAGGTTAATAGGGTTTTTGTGACTGGATAAGGTAATTCTAGTAACTGAAGAACATCTACTTAAGAGCATGTAGTTTGTTAGGATTTTTGAGACATCTGTTCTTAGAAGTAACTTGAGGTTGCCTAACTGTCTAAGTTTAATTGAGACAAGGGTCTTTTGCTGAGGATGGATTAGGAGAAAAAGACCCAAACCTTCTTCTCTAGCAATTATAGATTCGAAATTAAGAGGTTCCGATTGAAGGAAAACAAATTATGGAAAAGGGAAAAAGGAAAAAATAACAGCCCTTTATTAAGTATGTGTGTATTAACGTAACACGAGGGAAAAAAGGAAGGGAAAAAAAAAACCAAGTAAAACAACCAAACAATGCCCCTATACCCACCAATAATCCCCTTCAAGAACAAAACCGATAAAAACCGGCAAAAAAAAAAAGAAAATCAAATAGTTCAATTTTTAGCACTCTTTGGTGCAGTTCCAGCCACAGTCAGCAGGGGGCGCCGTCGCGTCACTGGAGATGTAAAAACTTGCAATGTCTTATACCGTTCACCAGGTGGCGCTGTTGAGTTATCAAAAGTGCAGAGCTTGTAATGTTCTATAGTAGTCACCAGGTGGCG